TCGGGGGGGGCGGCCGCGGGGATGGCACGCCGGTCGTCCGGGAAGGTGGGGGAGTCCTTGGACGTCTGCCGGGAGAGGGGGCTCTGGGGAGTGCCAGGCCGCGGGGTCCAGGGCCGGGAGTCGGGCGAGGGGCCGGTGACCGGGTGCGACGGGGAGTCCAGCCCCGAGTCTTCCACGTTCTCTGGCGACGAGGAGGAGAAGGGCGAGGGGCTGGAGGTGAGGACGTAGGCGCGGGGCGCTGAGGAGACATGGGCACGTGTCATGGCCACCGGCGAGCACCCGCCCCGCAGCTCCTGCCCTGGGGGTCCCAGGGGAGCCCCCGGCTCCGAGCAACCGCCCGGACACCTGGGTTCACTGACCTCAGCCGACCCCTTCCCATGGAGCCTCCCCTCCCTCCCTCCCCACCACGTAGCAGGGCTGGGGCACAAAGACCCAGGACAAAGCCCCCCAGCCCCCACCGGTACCCGGGAAGTCCTCTGCTTCGAAGGCAGACTCCAGCGGGGGCCCGAACAGGGCGGTGGAAGAGGCCGCATCCAGCCGGGGTTTCCCAATGTAGCTGGGGAGAGAGCAAGGCTGGACAGTCAGGGGGCCCCTGCGCCCCCACCCCGACAGCCCCGGGGTTGGCAGAGCCCGGAGCCAGCAGAGCCGGTGGCAGGGAGCACGTGGCCGGCTGCACCGAAGAGGACCCTGTTCCTTCCTTGCTGGGCTAACGCAGGGCGCCCCTACACCCCATATCGCCAGCCCCAAGCCACCCCTGCCACCTGGCCAAGAAGGGGACACGATGTCCCCCACGCCCAGGCTCCCTGTACCTGTTGATCCGGGCCGCGCGGTTGCATGGCTTGGCCTTCCCAGTGGGCTCGCCTGATGGGAAAGGAACGGGGAGTGAGCCCCGAGCTGCCAGGAGGAGCCACAGCCCCCTTGGAGCTGCCCCCGGAGCAGCCCCACCAGCTCTTGCAGGGCAACCGGAGCTGCTGGGGACCCCCCCCGGTCACACTGGGCAATGCCCCCATGATGGAGCAAGGCCAGCCGTGCCCACTCTCGCCTCACCCGCAGCCAGCGCCACGTCCGCCGGGGCCGTGCTCAGCGCAGAGACGTGTCCTGGGGAACCACCAAAGGGGCAGCATTAGTGCAGTGCCACCGGGTCCGGAGGGGCAGCACAGAAAGGATCCCAGCAGCCCCCCCACCCCCGTGCCCACTTACGTGACGACTGCCTCTTTACCGTGCCCTGCGGGAGGAGGAGGAGGAGGAGGCCGGTTAGCACAGGGCAGCCAGACCCCCTGCCCCACAGACCCCCAGCCCTGCCCTCACCCAATGGCCCACCCCGCTGCGCCCCTGGACCCCTCCCCAGCTCCCCCCCACAGTGCTCGTCTCACCCCGATGCTGGGGGGCAGGATGAGGTTCCCCACCGTGGCCTTCAGCTGCTCGTCGGTGGCCTCGGCGCTGCCGCCCGCCTCGCGGGGCTGCACCGGCTTGATGTGGATGTAGAACTTGCGCGGCTCGTCATCGTCGTAGTCCGAGTCGCTGGACGAGCAGCCGTGGTTCTCGGCCTCGTCTGCGGCGCCGTCAAGGCCAAAGCCGAGGCCAAGGACCCGCTGCCGTGAGCCCCACTGGCCACTAGGAGGTGCCCCTGCCCCGTGGCATGTACAGGATCCAGGCCACGCCAACGCTCCCAGCACTGATAGCACCACAGAGGTGCCCAGGCATGGCCACAGGGTGGGGGGTGTCATGCTATGACACAGGACACGGGACCCTGCAGCCGCGTCTGCCACGGCCTCACCCCATTTAGAGACCCCAGGGGCTGGCAGGGACCTGCCGCCTCCAGCCCCTTCCTTGCACCAGTCCCTGAAATCTTGGATTCCTCCTGTGCCTGGTGAAGGGCGTCTCAACCCGGAAGCTTGCAAAGAAAACTATTTTCTTTTGCAACTATTTAGTTGGTCTAATAAGCGATTATCACCTCTGCCCCAGGAGTTTTGTTTGCCTAGACCCTTAGACCAACACGGCTACAACCGAGACCCCGGCGGGGGGAGGCTTTCGGGCTCAAACGGCTTTGCAGCAGCTGCTCCGTGTCTGCCCCTTGCAGCCAGGGGATGGCTCTCCTCCTCCTGCCTCCAGCCTGGCACAGAGCAGGACGCCCTGCTCCATCAGCCCCAGTGACCCCATCCACATCCTGCCTTTCTCCTGGCCTCAGTTTCCCCAGCCAGGTCTACCTGTTGCAGGCTGGGAGCCGGGTGTCGTAGCCTCCTGGCTCAGGCCAGGCCCTGGGGGCTGCCCCAGGGGCGCTAGCCGGGTGGGGGGAAAGCTGGGAGATCAGCCCAGCCCAAGCACTGGGTGTTGTGCAGCCACATTGGGGATGGGGAGGCAGCCGGCAGGCCCCCCCGACGCCCCCCCCCCACCCCAGCCTGCACAACAGGAAGCTGCCGGATCCACTCAGCAGTTTTTCCCAGCCAACAAGATAGAGCCGGGGGGGAAGGAAGTAGCAGCCGGGACCACGGGATGCGCCGCTCACTGGGGGGTGGATTCCTCCCTGGGTCCCCCCCCACGCCAGCAGGCACGAGGCCGGGCAGCACGTGGAGCCGCAGACTCCCTGGCGTGGCTCAAACCCCGGCTGGCCCCAGGGCATTTCCTTCCCCGCCCCCATGGCTCCTGCCAGCCACGACCCCCGCCCCCAGCACGGCCAAGGATACTGTTCTGGTTGACGTCAGGGCGCACAGTGAAGCCCTCCTCATCCACCTCTGGGCAGGTCTGGGGGAGATGGCACCACATGGGTCCCCCCTGTCCCGCCCGGCGCCCCCCGCTCTCCTGACCTGGCCTGTGCCAGCATGCAGGCAGGCTAGGGCAGCCCAGGTGCCCCCACCCCAGTGCCCTGTCCCCACTCCCCTGGCTAATAAATAGCTGTGGGTCAGGCATGGGCAGAGCAGACCCCCCGGACCCCTCCCCAGCTGGCAGAGCTACTCACCAAGTCGGCGTCCGTGGACTCGCTGCGGGAAGAGGCAGAGACAGCATTAGAGCCGTGGCCCCGGCCCTGCAAAGAGTGTGGGGGGGGGCAGAGGGTGGGTGAGGAAAGCCCCCTTGTGCCGCAGATCCAGCCCCAGGACGCTCTCTGCCCTCAGCCCCGGTGGGGTCTGCACCCCCCAGTGGAGGCAGGGACCCCTGCCCTGGGCAGACCCTCCTGCCCACCCCCCACCGGGGCCCTGGCCCGGGCAGTGCCCGCGTTGCGGGGGCCGCGGGCCACCAGCTGCAGAGACGTACTTGCCTTCCTGCATGGGGGCCATCCGGTATTCATCGAAGTCCAGTGCCCCTGCAACGAAGAGGGGGTGAGCGCCGGGGGCACCAGCCTCTGCCCACCCCCCTGCTGCCCCCCGGTGCCCCACAGCAGGCCGCTCCTGCCCGGTGCCCTTGCTCTCGGCAAAGCGCCGCAGCAGCAGCTCCACGCCGATGTTCTCCACGTTCTGCTTGAACTCCTCATGCACCTGGGGGGCAAGAGGGCAGGGGGCCCGAGACTGAGCACCCACGGCCTGCCCCATGCTTCCCCACAGACACCCACGTCCACCTGCCTCCCATCCCTCGCCCCAAACACACAACACCCCCCCGCTGCACGGGCATACAGAGCCAGGGCAGACCCCCCATCCCAGGGGTGAGGGATAGCAGGGGGCACCCACCTGCCCGATCTGCACATGCGTGTCCTCCACGGAGTGCGAGTAGGAGCCGATCAGCCCCTTCATGTGCCGCAGATGAGACTCCTCGATCTCCTGGAACCGCTGGGGAGGTGGGGGGGAAGGGGGGCGTCAGGGCCATAGTCTGGCCGGACCCCCTGGGGCATCGCCCCTGCCTCTCCCCACGCCCAGCAGTGCCCTGCACCCCAGCTCCCCCCACACCCACCACGGCAGAGTCCAGCATGCGCTGCTCGAAGTCCGCCCGGGCTGCGTTGTACTTCTCCACCGCCCGCCGCAGCGACTCTGACGCCTTCTTCGACTTGAGCTCTGCCTGCATGGAGGCCGGGGCGGGGAGTGAGCTGCAGCCCAGGCATTGCTGGGGGCCCATGCAATGCCCAGCAGCCCCCCGCAGCACCCCCCGTACCTTGTCAATCTCCTTCTGGCTGGTGCCCTCGCGGCGCAGGCGCTCGTACTCCTGGCACTTGCTGTAGTAGAGCTCCTTGGACTTGGGCAGCAGCTGGGTGACGCCGTGCAGGTGCTGGACGGCCTCCAGTGTCCCCGACACCTCCTCCTTGGACTGGGGGCACAAAGGAGTTGGGCGCACGTGGGCCGTGGGTCTCCCAGTGCCCCTCCAGCAAAGGGGGGTGGACCTTGGCACCTCTGCGGAGCCTGGGCATGGGCAGCTCTGGGGTCCCCCCACATAGGGGAGCAGGGTGGGAGACCCAAGGGGTCCAGACCAGGGCGGGTGCTGGGTGCAGGGCACTGGAGCTGTGCCTAGGGAGGGATGAGTGACCCGGAGGCAGGGAAGGGGGGTCCCTACCTTCTTGTGCACCCGGCCCTGCTCCTCGCCGTAGCGGGCGATCTCCTTGATGAGGTCGTGCAGCTTGCGCATCAGCTCCATGTGGCACAGCGCCAGCTTGTCGGAGGAGATGCGGAAAACCTCCCAGAGGGGTGCAAAGGTCCTGGGGGGGCGAGGGGGAGGAGGCTGAAGGCAGGCCCTGCCTGCGTCCTTGGGGCTCCAGCTCCTCCCTCCTCCCCCTGCAAAAGCCTTGGGCCCATCAATACCCCCCCACAAAGGGGCCAGCAATGATGGGGGGCAAAGTGGGGGGTCTCCATGACTATAAGGGAGGATGTACAGGGATGGCCCCCCACCAACTGTTCTGTGCAGGGTCCGTGCAGCAGCCAGGAGGGCTGGGGTCACGTGCGTGTGCATGCATGCATGCGTGTGCATATGCAAGCACGTGCATGTGTGCATGCATGCATGGGGAGGCACGGACAGGGGGCCGGGGGCAGCAGGAGGGGAGGGGGTCCGTCTCCAGCCCCGCTTACCCCAGCTGGGTCCCGTTGGTGGCCATCTTGGACAGCTTGGCCATGGACTTTGCGTAGTTCTCCTCGATGGTGGCCCTGGGGACAGACCACGGGAGGGGCATGAGCAGAGCGACCCAGTGCCAGGCTGCACCGTGGTCTAGCCAGGCAGCACAGGCCTGGCCCCCGGGGCCTCCCCTCCCCAGCCTCTTCATGTGTGACGAGCAAGGCAGGACAGGCCTCAGCCCCCTTCCCGGGATTGCTCAGTCCCCGTCCTCACTGCCAGGGGCCCTGTGGGGACAGGACCTGGGGGGGCAAAGACGAGCATCCCTGCAGGAGGGCCCTATGCCAGGTGCCCCCATGGCTGGGAACCCAGGCATCCTAAATGTCCTGCTCCAGCCCTGGGGTTACCCCGCTCCCAATGCCCCGCATCAGGGCTACCTCTCCCGGACGAAGTCGGCCAGCTCCTTGGTGGAGATCTGCCCGTGCTTCATGTTGTGGTACAGCACGTCGAAGCCGTGGTTCTTCTCTCCCTGCAAGAGCGGGGCAGGGGGCAGAGAGGTGAAGGGGGGCACGGGCTGGACCGGGCTCATGGGACCAGCTGAACTCACAAGCCAGCAGCACACACGTGGACATACCCCCACCCACATGCAGCCCAGCTGCGAGCACAGACACGTCCACGCTCACAGCCCGTCTATGCACACTCACCCCACACACACCTGGTGGCACACGCACACATGTGCATGCCCACGCACAGCCCAGCTGCATGCACGCGGACACTCACGCACACAGACACATGCACACACAAACACACGCATAGCAAGCCCCCGTCCAGGCCAGGCTGGCAGCCAGACCTGTGACCCCAGTGCAGCTCCGGCCCAAGCTCTGCAGCTCCCCCCCACCCCTGGGCCAGCGCCAGCCTCAGGCACTGGGTAAACAAGGAGGCGTGGCGGCAGTGCCACGCGGGGAGAGGGCCTGGGCCCCTGCTCTGTGCCAAGCGCTGCGAGGACGTGGTGCCAGTCCCATGAGGGGGGATGGGAAATGCCCAGGGACATCTCTGCACCCCTCCTCCCAGCCTGGTGGGCACGCAGAGCCGTGCCCGCACAGAGGGCAGAGACCTCAGCCCTGCTCGGTGCTGGGCAGGGAGTGGGAATGCCTCAGGGCAGCCCCTGGGCACACCTGGACCACACGCGGGGGCAAGATAGAAGAGGGCCTGGGGTGTGGGGAGAAGCAGGAGCCAGGACACTTGACCCCACCACCACCGCCGCAGGCAGGGCCCAGCCAGGCGATGCCCAGGAGACAGCTCCTGCTGCCAGGGGTGCAGCCCTCCTGCCCCCTCCCCTGAATCCCTCTGCCTCCCAGCCCCGGGGGCAAAACTGAGCCACAAAGCACCCAGGGAGCAACCTGCCCCCTGACGAAGCCTGGGATAGGATCCAGGGATCTGGACACGGATGCTCCCAGCCGGGTGCAAGATGCTCTGTTCTGCAACCCACCCCCACCCCTACGGTCCGGGGAGCCCCCAGCCCATGGTCGAGGCCTTCCTGGCCCCCAGCTCCCCCATGCACAGGTGCAGGGCACAGCCCGACCCCAGCCCACCCTGTCTGAAGCCAATACGGGTCCTCCCCACCTCTGGCCTGCATGCCCCTGCAAGGCAGCCCGGGGGCAGGAGGGGGGCGCAGGGGCGCTGCGGCTTTAAGAAAGAGGAGCCGCCCGCCTGAAACAGATCCGGGGATTGTAAGCGGAGAAGAAAGCGCCCAGGCGATGGAGCTGCCTCTTGCAGCAGGACCGTTGCTACCGGAGACGGGTTGCCTAGCAACCTCTTCCCCCTCCTGCATACAAATTTTGGTCCAGTGGAAGTGGCATGGGGGGGGCTTGGTTCTCCCCAAGACCCCCCACCCTCGGCCCCCAGCAAGAACGCCCCCGGGGATGGCAACCCACAGCAGGATGGGGCCAGGGGCCGGAGCGTGATGCCCTATCCTGGCGGGGGGAGAGGGGCAGGGGTACCTCCCTGCCCTGCCAGTGACCAGCGGAGGGGTCTCAGCCCTGCTCCCCGCTCGGAGGCGGCAGCAAGGCCCCGCGAGCCGAGCCCAGGGCGGCTGCGTCCTGCTCCCCGCTCTGCTTCGGGCCTCAGTTTCCCCTCCTAGCCTCTGCCCGCTGCCGGGCTCAAGCCTGCGCTGCACCCCGTTCCCTAGAGGGCACATGGACCCCGCCAGGCACTGGGGCCTTTGGGCTCGCAGCTGGGCTCCCACCGCTCCCACTTCCCCTTCCTCCCACCCCAGAGGCGCCAGGGCCGGAGAGCCCCGAGGTGCCACGGCGGCAGGAAGGAAGACTTCCCCAGGACCCAGGCACTGACCTCCCTTCACCCCGGGCGCGGCGAGACACCCCAGCAGAGCACGTGCCAGCCCAGGCCTGTGCCCAGCTCAGCCCCCCTGGCAGGAGGGGCCCCAGGGGTGCCCGGGCCAGCCTGGCAGTGCCAAGGTGCCCTGCGGGATGGGAGCGCCGCACACAAAAGCTTCCTCGGTCCCCAAAGCAGCTTCTGGCAATTACCGAGGTCCTTGTGTTTAGCTACCAATTACTCCCGAGCGCTAATGAACCCGCCGGGCCTCCTAGCGTCTAATTAATTAACGGTAGGCAAGGGTCCCCTCGGCCGGGCTGCTGGCACCGATGGTCACCAGCTCCCTCCAGCTGCAGCCCCGCTCCTGGGAGGGGCAGGTGCTGCAGGATCGGGGCCACGACCCCCACACTCCCCTTCCCATCCCATCCCAGCAGGCGAATCCTGCACCCGGGCTTTCTTGGCCCCCGGGCAGCAGCAAGAAAGCTGGAGGGGGGCGGGTGGGAGACCTCACCTCCAGCAATGCATGCTGGGATACACAGCTCCCCCAACCTCCGCAGCCCCCCGAGAGCGTGGCCCTTACCCAGAAGTGCTCCCCGAAATAGGACATCTTGGAGTCGGCGGGGACGACCCCCCCTCTGCGATCCGCGCCGCTCAGCTCTCAGGGCCCTGGGGGGGAAGAGCCAGGCCGTGAGCCCCAGCCGCCCCTCGCGGGAGCCAGCTCCCCCGTGCCTCAGTTTCCCCACCCACAAGACAGGGGGACCATTCATCTGGAGGAGGGAGGTGTGTGGAGCTCTGCCAACCCCTCCTGGGGGGGGTACAGGCTTGCAACAAAGGACCAGGACTCCAGAGCCCCGGGGGCCCCGGCGGGCTCTACCCCAGACCTCAGGAGAAGCAGGGAAGCCGCTCCCCCACGCTGGGCAGGGTTCCTGCCTGGCAGGGCGCACACGGGCCAATCCTGATCGGAGCCAGATGCCCCAGGGAGGATCCTGGCATCCCTGAACCAATGCTGGATACACAGGCAAATAATGCACAGGATGCCACCCGCCCCCCGCACGTTTGGTGCAAAGCCAGCCACTTCCTTGCAACCCCCGAGCAGGCATCTGCACCCTGGAGGGAGGAAAACTGAGGCACCGAGTGGGGATGTGAGATGCCCCAATGCCCAGACCCCCTCCAGCCCGAGCCACCGAACCCCGCTGCCGTCCCAGAGGTTGGCAGAGAGCCCAGGAGTCCGGACACCCCGCTCCGACCCGGGCCAGGAAGTTCTCCACGGCGCCTGTCTGCAGGTGCATCACCCTCCCGGGTAAGGGCCCAGGGGCACGGCAGGGCTGGGGGCAGGTTGGAAACCGCCCCCCACCACTGCCCACTCCCCAGGCTTGTGGGGCAGACCCAGGGGCCCAGGCCCCCGATGCCAACCCCTGCCCCCCGGAGCAGGCCCAGAGCCCGCCCTGCTCCTCCCCCCGGGCCCGAGAGAGAAAACAGGAAACACGCCAATCTTTGCACTCCCGGGCTCCTTCCGTCTCACAATTTTGGGCCTGGGAAGGGTGTCCTGCCTGCCCCCCGGCACCGTGGCGGGCATCGCTGGGGCGCCACGGCATGGCTGGACTCACCCGGCACTGCTGGGCACATGGTCCCGGCTGGGGCATCGTCGGGCACTGGCCTTGCTGCAGGCAGGGACCTGGGGGGGTCAAGCGAGGACGCAGCCGTGAGCCCAGCGCCACATCTGCAGGGGCACCGCGCCACCCCGTCCAGCACAGCTGCCAGGAAGCCCCGCCGCCGCGCCACGGCGCAGACCACATGCAACACACGCACGGGGCGGGGCTCCGCCCACACGCGCGCGCCCAGCACCTCGCTCCCGCGCGGGGGGAATGTGCCCCACACACTTGGCGCTGCCGTCTGTGGGGGAATCAGCTGCTTCGGGGACAGAGAGAGAAGAGGGGCTGGATGGGGAAACTGAGGCACGGGAGGAAGTCCTAGGAGTGCCAGCCTGGGGCAGTCCCCGCTAGGCCAAGCTGCCTTGGGCCTAGTCGCTGCGTACCCCTGGGCACCTGCCAGCCTCCCCCCCAGACGCTGCCAGGCTTTGGGGCGGGCACAGAGGAACCAGCTGCTCCCAGAAAGGGAGCGGAGGGGCTGGTGGGGAAACTGAGGCACGAGGTGCCCCAGAGCAGGCCAGGATAACACCCCAGCTCTTTTCAAAGCCTTCCCCCGCGGGGGCAGAGCCAGCCAGACCCCGGCGCCATCGCCCCCCAGCTGGGAAATCTCCAAGGAGCCCCCGCCTCGGGTAACAACCCGCTACTGCTGCCAGCCCGCGGGTGCGAGCCCCGGGTGCAAGGAGGGGCAGGGCCGAGGGCCCGGGGGGCCCGGCAGAGGCTGGGGGGGGGGCAAGGCCCAGGCCCTCGTGCCACAGGCAGGATGCGGCTCCTCACTCACACGAGCCCCCCCCCCGGACACCCACCCGCAGGGGGGCCTCGCACGCCCAGCGCCAGCCCTTGCCCCCCGGGGGGAGGAGGAGGGTGCAGCTAAGCCCCCCAGGCCAGCATCCCGCCCCCGCAGGGGTGAGCACGGGACGGCGTGGGACACGCCCGGCGGCTTTCGGTTCTGCATTGCACGCATGCACACGCGTGTGCCGGGGGGGGGATACGAGGGCCCCGTCAGCAATGACCTTGACCCCGCGCCGGCCAGGGCAGGCGGCTCCGCACCCGGCCGGGAAACGCACGGCCCCCCCACAGCACCTGCCGGCGCCTGGCACGGGGGGGGGCACCAGCCCGTGACAAGCCCCCAGCTCAGCACCGAGGAAGGATCCGGCCCCCAAGGGGCTCAGCGCTGCAGGGAGGGTCCAGCCCCCCATTGCTCAGCGCTGCAGGGAGGATTTGCCCCCGAGGGACTCAGCACTGCAGGATTTGCCCCCCCCATTGCTCAGCACTGCAGGAAGGATTTGCACCCCCACATTGCTC